ATAGGAAGCTTAATCAATTTTGGTTTACATTTAGTTATTTATTTTTTAATGTTTATTTTTTAGAGAGAGAGACACACACACAGTGGGAGTGGGGGAGGGGCAGAGAGAGAGGGAGACACAAAATCCGAAGCAGGCTCCAGGCTCCAAGCTGAGAGCATAGAGCCTGATGCAGGTCTCAAACCCATGAAACATGAGATCATGACCTGAGCTGAAGTTCAACCACTTAACCAACTGGGGCACCCAAGTGCCCCAATTTTGGTTTAAATTTAAGGGAAATATATTTTAATGTTTATTTATTTTTGAGAGAGAGAGATCACCTGCGCTTGCACATGAGTAGGGGAGGGGCACACAGAGGGCGACAGAGGATCCAAAGCTGGCCCTGAGCTGACAGCAGACAGCCCGGTGTTGGTTTTGATCCCAGGAACTGTCAGATCATGACCTGAGCCAGTCAGATGCTTAAGTGACTGAGCAACTCAGGTGCCCCTAAAGGAAATATATTTAAAAAATCAAAACTATTTAATTAGGACTTTTTTTTTTTAATGTTTATTTTTGAGAGAGAAAGGCAGTGTGAGTGGGGAAGGGGTAGAGAGAGAGAAAGAAAGAGACAGAATGCAAGCAGGGGAGGGGCAGAGAGAGAGGTAGATACAGAATCCGAAACAGGCTCCAGGCTCTAAGCTGTCAGCACAGAGCCTGATACGGGGCTCTAACCCATGAACCATGAGATCATGACCTGAGCTGAAGTCTGACACTCAACTGAGCCACCCAGGTGCCCCACCCACTTTTTTTTATTTTAAAAAATAAAAGCATTATGTGTACAGGTTCTATATCCTCTTTTTTGTTTGGTTGGGTTTTTTCTTTTTTTTTTTTAATTTTTTTTTTAACATTTATTTATTTTTGAGACAGATAGAGACAGAGCATGAGCAGGGGAGGGTCAGAGAGAGAGGGAGACACAGAATCCGAAACAGGCTCCAGGCTCTGAGCCGTCAGCCCAGAGCCCGATGCGGAGCTCGAACTCATGGACCTTGAGATCATGACCTGAGCCGAAGTTGGACGCCCAACCGACTGAGCCACCCAGGCGCCCCTGGTTGGGTTTTTTCAACTGTCCGGTATATCCTGGACATTTTTGCCTATTAACAATGGAATTTTTTTTTTAAGATTTTTTTTTTTTTTAATTTTTTTCATTGTTCATTTTTGAAAGAGTGAGAGAGAAAGAATGAGTGAAGGAGAGGCAGAGAGGGAAACATAGAATCCAAAGCAGGCTCCAGGCTGTCAGTTCAGAGCCCAACTCAGGCTTGAACCCATGAATCATGAGATTCACTTGAGTTGAAGTCAGACGCTTAACCGACTGAGCCACCCAGTCGCTCCTTAATTAAAGACCATTGCTGTCTTAAAAAAAAGTCCACTATCTCAGATTAATTTTTAATTAATCTTATTGAAATGTAATAAGGATACAGAAAATGTATGTGTATATATGTGTGTATCATATATTTTGACAAACTGAACATAACCTGTGTAACTTGTGTACCCTGACCAAGAAATTAGAAGGGCGCCTGGGTGGCTCAGTGGGTTAAGCGGCCGACTTCGGCTCAGGTCCTGATCTCACGGTCCGTGAGTTCGAGCCCCACGTCAGGCTCTGTGCTGACAACTCAGAGCCTGGAGCCTGTTTCAGATTCTGTGTCTCCCTCTCTCTGACCCTCCCCTGTTCATGCTGTCTCTCCCTGTCTCAAAAATAAATAAAACGTTAAAAAAAAATTTTTTTTTAAAGAAATTAGATAGAATTTATTTCTACTAAGATTGTTTAGTGTTTAATTACACAATTGGATAATGCTTCAATATTTTATATTTTGAATGTAACTATAACTATCCTGAACATTGATTCCATTTTTCAGCCAATACTCCTTGTTCGTCTGTGGAGTCGGGTATATCATCTTCATTAAAGAGGAAGTCTCCTAAGTTTTGATACTTAACATTTTTTTCTCCCTGAGGCTTTGCGTAGAATGTGCAGAGCCATATTAAAGATTAGGAGGTGGAGCTTGTCTTTGCATTTGCCCCTGACAGCAGGAGGAAATGCCCTTAGTGTCTGAATTCCTGTGCTATAATTTTGGCTGAGCTGTTTCATGGTTTTAAAAAATTGAGATTGGGGTGCCTGGGTGGCTCAGTCAGTTAAGCATTTGGTTATTGATTTCAGCTCAGGTCCTGATGTCACAGGTTCATGAGTTCAAGCCCCATGTCGGGCTCTGCTGGTGGTGCAGAGCCTGCTTGGGATTCTCTGTCCCTCTGTTCTTCCCCTGCTCTCGCTGTCTCTCTAAATAAATAAATAAATAAATAAATAAACTTAACAAATTTAAACGTTTATTCATTTATTTTGAGACAGCATGAGCACGAACCCCGCTTTGGGTAAGCCCTGCTTCTCTCTCTCTCCCTCCTTCCCTTTCTGCCGCTCGCTCGCTTGAACCCTCTTCTCTCTCTGAAAAGAAAATTAAATTAGATTAAAAAATTAAAAATTTTAAGATAAAATATTTTTTAAAAATAAATTATGGAACTTAGGGTAAACAGTGATTGCTTAGTGGGAAAAAGTTTCTCTTAGTGGTGATGAAAATGTTCTGGAATTAGACACGATTGTTGCATAACATTGTAAATATGCTAAAAAAAAACCACTGAATTGTAGGATTTTAAGTGGTAAAATAACTAATTTTGTGAGAGTAATATGTTACGGCAATATAATTACAATAACCGAAAACCAAAAATAATTCAAATGTCCATGTATAGTAGAATCAATACATTGTAGTCATTGTTTGACTGTCCAACAATAAGAATTAATGGACTTCAAGTATACTTAACAACATGGATGAATCACAAATACGATTTTGAGTGAAAGGAAGTCAGTTATTTAAAGTTTGGAAGTAAGCAAAAGAAATCTATGATAGATGTCAAAGCAATGGTTACCCTCAGGCAGTGAAATGATGACCAGATGGGAGTCTCTTGGCCTGGAATCTGGGCACATAGGTGTTCGTTTTGTGAAAATTCAATTAGTTATGTACTTATGATTTGCACATTTTTCTGCATGTATTTTGTATTTCAAACAATAGATATTGCCCATTGAATGGTACCAACATAAAAATATTTAAAAATTAATTTGGAAAAACAATTAAGTATACCAAAATATTAATACACGTGGGTTATGATAGTTTGTACCTCGGTCTTTTTCTTTTTTCCTACACACCCCTTATTGCTATTTTATTGAACACATAAAAAAAGCAAAAATATTTTTTCAGGGCTTTACATTTAGTTTCTATTAAACTGTAAATTTCCCATGGCTCTTACTCGTATGTTTGCATAGATAATATGAGATATCTCTGTGTTCATTTTGTAGGCAAATTTTGACAACAAACCAGTAAATGGCCCCAAGTCAGAATCCATGGAATACAGTAAATGCCATGGGGACCAACAGAGATTGGAATTAAACCCACCTCCCCTTGAAAATGTAACTAAAAATGAAGAAAGTATGACAGGTATTGAAGTGGAGAAGTGGACGCAAAATAAGAAATCACATTTAACCGATCATGTCAAAGGAGAATTTAAGGCAATTGTGACTGAAGCTGAAAAATTGAAAAACTCTGAAGATGACAAGAAGAAAGTCCTACTCACCGAGTTACCAGAACCTCAGAAATTGTTTGCACAAACTGTAAGAAATGGCATTAAAAATGTACACTATTTACCAACCGAGTCCAACGTGTGTTTTAAAAAATTCAGTATTGAAGAATTTGGCAAGGCATTTGAAAACAACTCCTATAAATTCCTGAAAGACACTGCCAACCATAATGCCATGAGCTCCATTGCCACTAATGCGAGCTGTGATCATCTCAAGGGGAGAAGTAATGTTTCAGTCTTCCAGAAGCCCAGCTTTAACTGCAAGTCTATCCCAGATCCAGCAAATTTCAACCTAAATAGTCATACTAGTACACACAATGAAAGTGATCAACCCAAATCTCTAGAAAATATACCAAGTAAAGAATCAAAAGATGGATCTCCAGTTCAACCAAGTCTTCTATCCCTGATGAAAGATAGGAGATTAACATTGGAGCAAGTGGTGGCCATAGAAGCTCTGACCCAACTATCAGAAGCTCCATCAGAAAATTCTTCACCATCAAAGTCTGAGAAGGATGAAGAAACAGAGCACAGAACAGCGAGTTTGCTTAATAGCTGTAAAGCTATCCTTTATTCGGTAAAAAAAGACCTTCAAGACCCAACCTTACAAGGGGAGCCAGAAAGCCTTCATCACTATCCATCTTTGGAAAAGCAAAGCCCATGCACCACGGTGGTATTTAATGGCCAAAATATTTCCAAGTCACACAACTCAGCTGCTAACCAAGCATCTACAAAGTCACAGGAATATTCAAAAGTCACAAATTCAGGATCTCTTTTCATACCAAATCCAAATTCGTCTAAAATTGACACCAATAAAAATGTTGCTCAAGCTAGAATTACCCTTGAGGGTTCTAAGAATTTGCATCAGTTGCCACCAACAAGTGATAAATTGGGGTATTGTAACCAGCCACTGGCCAGCAGTAAACAGATAGACTCAAAAGATGATCCATCGTGTCAAGATACAGTTCATAGTAAAATAGAGGAAGATGTTGCAACACAGTTAACACAACTTGCATCAATAATTAAATTCAATTATATAAAACAAGAGGACAAAAAGGCTGAAAGTACATCAACAAATCTTGTTGCATATAATGTGCAGCAAAAATGCAGTCAGGAGAAAATCACAGTACAACAGAAACCACCTTCCAGTGTACAAAACAATCATAGCTCATCATTAACAAAGCACAAGAACACGACACAGAAAAAGACAAAATCTACCCCATCAAGAGATCGGCGGAAAAAGAAGCCTGTAGTCCTAACTGGTCAAGATAATGACCAGAAAAAGAGGGAACAGCTGTCATATGAGTACAGTAAGTTACATGACATTTGGATAGCATCTAAATTTCAAAGATTTGGTCAATTTGGTCCACATGATTTTCCCATTCTGTTAGGAAAAATTCCTCCCCTAACCAAAGTATGGAAACCACTGACTCAAACGACTTCAGCATTAGAACACAAAAAATTATTTCCTCCACTCACTCAGATAAAATTTGAGCGATATTATCCCGAATTAGCACAGGAAAAAACCATGAAGGTTGAACCTTTGGATTCTCTCCCATTATTCCAGTTAAAAACAGAATCCAATGGGCAGGCGTTTACAGAAAAAGTTTATAATTCTCAGGTACAGCCATCCGTGAATGTCAATCAGAAAGCTCATCCTTTACTCCAGGCCTCCTCTCCAACTAACCAGTGTGCTAATGTAATGGCTGGCGAAGACCAAACACAATTCCAGCAGGATGTTAAAGACCAAGTCATGCATCAGAGACTGCCGACATTGCCTGGTATCTCTCATGAGACCCCCCTACCAGACCCAGCACAAATTCTCAGGAATGTAAATGTAGTGTGTTCAGGTGGAATTACAGTGGTTTCTACCAAAAGTGAAGAGGATGTCTGTTCATCCAGTGTTGGAGCATCAGAACTTTCCCCAGTAGACAGTGCACAGAAAAGTTTTAATGATTATGCCATGAACTTCTTTACCAATCCTACAAAAAACCTGGTGTCCACAACGAAAGATTCTGATTTGCCAACCTGCAACTGTCTTGGTAAGTGTGGGGCCGAGTGTGTTATGTGTTTCTTCTTTGTTTACTTCCGTTAATTGCCTCCTCATGACCAAATCAAATTTTGGGTTGTCTTTCATATGTGGCATTTTTGCCCCATTCATGTTCTAGCTGAAATGGACTAAATCTATGCCGATTTTTCTGTGGGACCTTTACTGATTATGCTCAAATAATTGGGAAGTTTAACGCATAATTAGGAAACTTTCTTAAGTGGAAAATTTGCCGATTTCTCTTGGCCAAATTTTATTGTGAATATGATAGGAATGAATTCCTTTAATACTTTATTATAGTTTATTCTTCTATATGGAAAAGAATTTCAACCTGTAAGCATTTTGTTTCAAAAATAATTTTTATTGTGAAATATAAAACCTACACACAGAGAACATAAAATATATGTGCAACTTAACAAATAACTATACAAAGTATGTGTGATTGCCGCCCCATTAAAGAACTGGACCTGGTTTATTTCTTTTTCAATGCTTAGTGCTCTTCTGCTCTGCAATACAAAGGATGTCCTTATATATGAAACAAATCCAAACAAATCTTAGCTGCTGAAGAATTTGAAAACCTTTTGAAATTCTAAAATATTAAGTTGTTGTATAATATTGTTTTCCTGTTTAAAAAACCAATAGGCATGTGTAAATAGCTGAGCTGGGAAGTGATTTCTAACTAATACATATTTTGTGTCTTAGGAGTCATTGAAAGAGATCATTCAGGAACTAATAATTAGAATTTTTATCAGCCCTGAGAAAATCTTGCAGGACTAAAGATTCTTAGGCAGGCCTTATGAGAAATTTGCTCAGTATTTAAAACATACGAAAGCTTAATTTGAACCCTGTACTGATTAGTCATTGTTTATGGCCAGATTTCATGTAAGAGCTTTTGTAAAAGAAGAATTAATTTACTCTAATGTAGCTGTAATAGAGAGATTAAATAGATTGGGTCATTCAAGTTTGTTACACTACTTGATGCCCTCATTATTTCAGCTTTTATACAGCTTATGAGGACAAAATTTGTGAAATAACCTGTTCTGAACTCAAATAGGTTTGATTATTAAAAGTCTTTAAAAAAAAAAAAAAGTCTTAAAATATAGCCCCAAATCACAAAGATTTAAGATTTGCCTTGAACAAGGGAAGTTTTTTTTGTCAGAAGTAGGTGGTTGGTTAGTACATTCCAGAATGGGTAAAGGATTGTTTGGAAGGATAAACTATATCATTCTGATTTTTTTTCAAAACCACAGTAGAAAAATTAGTGAAGTATATAGCCATGACTATTTGCTCTTGATTTTCTAAAGTACATTTGACATTCTGAAATCAATCCTTCTATTTCTCCGCTCATCATTCAACACCACTTAGACAGCCTGCCAGGTACCAGGGATAAGCTCTTCTTGGAAGGATCTCATAATCTGAAAAGGGGTGACAATGCTGAGTGGGGTCGAAACAGGAGAATGAATGAGAGGTTCTTGGACCAAGTACAGAAGAGTGTAATAATGATGATTCCCATTCCAGATCTTTTACTGCCAAGTCTGATACAGTACAATGGCCCTGACTTGTTATATTCACAACATCCCTACAAAGGGAAGGCTTATTAACTCCAGTTTACAAATGAGGAAACTAAGTCACAGGGAAGTTCACAGCTAGTGAATGACTAAACTGGATTTCAAAGACAGTCACAACTTGAGAGCCTACCTTCCTCTTGTTTCAAAAATCTGAAGTAAAAAAGGGACGGTAATTTTTTTAATATCATTAGAAATGGAAAAAAAAATCTGTAATTTAAAATGCCATTAAAATTTATATTTTAGTCTAATTTTACTGAGCTAGTATAATTTTACTGTGTGCATAATTTCAGTAGGATGATTGTCTAGTTGCAAAACTCTTTCCGTAGAGATAGTAACTAGTCACAGGGTAGGAGTTGAGACACAACTAAGCATTTAAAGTTTATTGAACATCGGCAGTACACACGTAATTGTTTTATACATCGTCACTTACATGTTTTCCTATAATCATTACATGCAAGATTATTGTGCTCATTGTGTAGAAATGGGAAGTGATGAAAAAACAAAAAGCAGACTCACTCAGAAATCATCCCAAGTGGGATGATCGTATCTAAGAGTAAAAGATTTCCATGCAGGTATTGTGTTCTAGCAAAGTAAGAGTAATTAACCTCTTAATCACGCCTCCTCAAATTGAGCACTATTGGCATTTTAGATAGGATAATTCTTTTTTTTTTTTTTTTTAATTTTTAAATTTACATCCAAGTTAGTTAGCATATAGTGCAACAATGACTTCAGGAGTAGATTCCTTAATGCCCCTTACCCATTTAACCCATCCCCCACCCACAACCCCTCCAGCAACCCTCTGCTTGTTCTCCATATTTAAGAGTCTCTTATGTTTTGTCCCCCTCCCTGTTTTTATATATTCTTTTTGCTTCCCTTACCTTATGTTCATCTGTTTTACATCTTAAAGTCCTCATATGAGTGAAGTCATATATTTGTCTTTCTCTGCCTGACTCATTTTTCTTAGCATAATACCCTCTACTTCCATCCACATAGTTGCAAATGGCAAGATTTCATTCTTTTTGATTGCCGAGTAATACTCCATCGTATATATATACCACATCTTCTTTATCCATTCACCTATCAATGGACATTTGGGCTCTTTCCATACTTTGGCTATTTTGATAGTGCTGCTATAAACATTGGGGTGCATGTGTCCCTTCGAAACAGCATACCTGTGTCCCTTGGATAACTACCTAGTAGTGCAATGGCTGGGTTGTAGAGTAGTTCTATGTTTAAGTTTTTGAGGAAAGGATAATTCTTTATTGTAGGGGAACTGTCCTCTGCAACCTAGCCTGTTTAGTGGCATCCATGGCCTGTAATACACACACACACACACACACACACACACACACACACACACACACACACCCCTGCCCAGTTGTCACAACCAAGAAGTTTGGACAAATTTTCTACTCAAGAAAAATCGCCCCTGGTTAAGAACCACTGCTTTAGATCATCAGTAATAACTTAAAATCTGTTCAATGTATCTTAGGAAGCCACAAAAGTAATCTTATGTTGTATCCGATGTCCAATCATAATGACCTTTCAGTCAGTATAGATGCACCACAGCCAGAAATGCATTCCTGAGCGATTCCAGCTAGACATGATTCTGAGAGGCCAAGTTAAACATACTGTTTTTATGAAATATATAATTCACACCCATAAAATTTCAGGTAGGACAGAAATATGATGCAAATGTCTTCTTACAGTATAATATTCTAACGATAAATCCTCAGAGTTTTTCTATATGAATTAACATTATTACTGATTTCAATTTTGGTTACAGTTTTAGAAAATTTGGATCTTTTAAAATATACTTAAAAATACTCTATATACTATATTTTTGCAACTTGCTTTTAAAAATATGAAATCTCAGGGTTTTCATTGCTTAAATATTATTGTTTTGATAGTTTTTTTTATTTTTCCACTATATAAACATCCCACAATTTATTCAACCTATCATTTAATGACATGCTAAATGTGCTATTCTCTTTTGATATTACAAATAATTGTGACAAGGAACATTCCTGCGTACATTTGCATTATAAATATATAATTAGGCAAGTGTATAGTATAATAAATTCTTAGCAGTACAGTTGCAGGGCTCTATTTTAATAGGATTGTAAGGCCAGGGTTTTAAGATGTATTGCTCTCATAACTTTTAATTGTGTACCTCAATTATTAATAGATTCCTTTTAAAGCAGGAGGTAGGAAAATAAATATGACCCACATCTTAAAATATTTTTCTCCTTTGATTCTTAGAGGAAGAATGAAATAGTTAGGAGCTGAAAGAAAGAAACAAGTGAAATTCTAGGGCTTATTGTCCTAGACATTAATTATTAAATCTTTCCAAAAGCTTGTCAAGATTCATTGTTCTGAATTCGAAAACAAATAATAAAACTATATCCTCCTTGCCCCTATGCAATTCTGTAAAGCTTTGGGTCTAATAATCTTATTCCTTCCACAGATCGAGTTATACAAAAAGACAAAGGCCCATATTATACACACCTTGGGGCAGGACCAAGTGTTGCTGCTATCAGGGAAATCATGGAGAATAGGTGAGGAAATATCCTTCCCTGTTAAAATCCTTCATTACTGTGGACCTGACTCAATGCAGAGAAATTATCTCTGGAACAAATGAGAAGTATATATATACCTTCAGGAGTGGAAGTTGGATGTTTCTTAGGGCCCAGGCAAAGAATAGTGTCCTGGTGTCCCTGCTGAGTCACTCATCACATGAGCCTTGGGGCCCTCAACAAGACACTCACAGAGCAAGGCTGTCTTTGTTAAATTCAGAAATACTTATTTTTCTATTACTGTATAATCGTAGTGATAGTTCAGATTACCTCCATCAACACTGCATTCACATTCCTTATGCTTATCTTGGAGCCAGTCCATTTTTTAAAAGAGTGATCTTTAAGGATGAGTAAGCAGAATGGGATAACAATAAAAATATCTGCCACACAAAAATACATTTTTAACGAATGTAAATTATGAGGAGTGTTTGATTTCTGTACTTCTTTAAAGCTGTATCTTATGTACATTAAGATGTCAAAGTGTATATCGCAATTAATTGCAATTATTTTCCCTTCACTGTGTTTTGTACTCAGGTATGGTCAAAAAGGAAACGCAATAAGGATAGAAATTGTAGTGTACACGGGAAAAGAAGGAAAAAGCTCTCATGGGTGTCCAATTGCTAAGTGGGTAAGTATTTTGTGCTTACACATTTTTCAAAACTAGATTTATTCCACATATAAAACCCATCAATTTATTTTCCATGAATATGTGGATTAGAAAAGTATCCACCCTTATTATTCCCTGGGAAATAATCAGGAAGCTTTCTATCTTAGCCTGGACTTTTTATGTTAAATGAACAAAAGTTCCCAGTTATTACTTAGTGATCTTCAGCTCCCCAAGGTCACCACTTTTGTCAGTGTCTTATGTACTTTTAGAGATCTTTTAATGAATTTATAGTTAGGTAACATAAGTAAATGGTACTAAATTATACATACTGCTTTATATCTGTTATCTGTTTCTGTATTGAAATTATTTCCAAGTCATTATCCATAGGACCACCTTAATGAGGATCATATAATTTTGAAAGCAAAACTAAATTTTTTTATAACATACTCCCAAAATTGTACCTATGACTACTTTGGTTTTCTAAACATGCAGAACTATAAGAAGAACTGAATTCAACTTCTTTGGGAAGTTCTTAACTGTAAAACAAGTTCCTAGCCAAATATATATATTCAGTAGGACATTCACATCCACAAGGATATTAACCAGTTTATTTGGAATTTTTGACCATAGAATCATTAAAAAAATTTTTTTATGTTTATTTATTTTTGAGACAGAGAGACAGAGCATGTCTGGGGGAGGGACAGAGAAAGAGAGAGAGAGAAAGAGAGAGAGAGAGGGAGACATAGAATCCAAAGCAGGTTCCAGGCTCTGAGCTGTCAGCACAGAGCCCGACACGGGGCTCCAACCCACGAACTATGAGATCATGACCTGAACTGAAGTCAGACGCCCAACCAAGTGAGCCACCCAGGCGCCCCAATCGTAGAATCATTTTATTTTATTTTATTTTATTTTTATTTTTTATTTTTTATTTTTCAAACGTTTATTTATTTTTGGGACAGAGAGAGACAGAGCATGAACGGGGGAGGGGCAGAGAGAGAGGGAGACACAGAATCGGAAACAGGCTCCAGGCTCTGAGCCATCAGCCCAGAGCCTGACGCGGGGCTCGAACTCACGGACCGCGAGATCGTGACCTGGCTGAAGTCGGACGCTTAACCGACTGCGCCACCCAGGCGCCCCCGTAGAATCATTTTAGATCCCTGTGCCATCATTTGTTAATAAAGATGACGATGTTGTTAAAAAAAAAAAATTGATGTTGGTAATAATGGTAATAAAATAATAACAATAACAAGTACCTTTTATTATACATCAGGTACTATGTTAAAAACTTGAATCCTCACAAAAGGACTCTGTTATGATTTTGAATAAGGTCAAAGTCGGTAACTTCATACCCCTTTTGGAGAAATTAAAGACATTAAATACAAAATAAAAGTAGGATTAAACCCAGGTATTCCTAAAGCAAGACGATTGCCACACCCATAGCTGCTCTAGTAGTAGACTATTTGTCTTGGTTACTTTTAAACCTTTGGAAGCGATTAAAAGCACAAGAGCTGCACACTCTAGAATACTTTGTTTCTTTTTTTTTTTTTTTTTTAGTGTTTATTTTTGAGAGAGAGAGTGGGGGAAGGGCAGAGAGGCAGGATGACAGAGGATCTGAATAGGCTCTGTGCTTAGAGCATAGAACCCGATGAAGGGCTCAAACTCATGAACTGTGAGATAATGACTTGAGCTTCCTTTAGACACTTACTCAATTGAGCTACCCAGGGGCCTCCAAAATACTATTTCTTCAATCTATGTGGAGCTCCTAGTCCTGTTAAAATACAGATAAACTCAAAGATCTAGAATTTACCTTGTTTAGTTATCTTACAGTAAAGTGCCCAAATGCTTAGGTGTACATACATATCAAGGTTATTCTTGTGTCTAACACTATCCAGATGATGATATAATCATTTTAGCACGCCAGAAGGGCCCTCCCAGACAATAACACCACATCAAGGTAACTACTATTTTGACCTTTATCTCTTTAAAGGTCTTTTTGATGAACTCCATATACCTAGACTCATATAGTGTGTGCTCTTTTGTGTCTTTCTCCTTTCACTAAACATTTATAGAACATGAGTTTATTTAATGACTGGAGCTCCAACAGCCACTTTTGAAGCACAGATTGACTTTCTAGTGTGAAGAAAGATAGGAGCATGAGTTCCTGATGATACCAGGAGCGCTGCCAAACTAACTTCAGTCTTTCTTAAATCTGAATTTTTTTTAATGTTTATTTTTGAGAGAGGGAGAGAGAGAGGGAGAGAACATGAACAGGGGGGAAGGACAGAGAGAGGGAGACAGAGGATCCAAAGGAGGCTTTGCTCTACGAGCGCTGAGCCGGATGCAGGTCTTGAATTCATGAATTATGAGACCATGACCTGAGCTGAAATCAAGAGTCGGCCCCTTAACCAACTGAGCCACCCAGGTGCCCCTTAAATCTGAATTTCTTTAACATGAGAGAGAATTTTTGTTAACATATTAAAAACGTGTTGTTTGGGGTTTTCTGTTATGTGAAATAGAATCAAGTTCCAAGATAACTTGCCTTCAATTTGTTACAATGTGGGTGAGTTTTAGAAGAGAAAAGAAACAGTTTCAGAAGGAGAAAAATAAGTGAAGAAACTGTGCTTCTTGAATACTTTATATTGCCAGCCCCTGGGCTAGATATTAGGGATGCAAACATGAATTAAGATCTACCGGTCATTTTGTAGATGGGAACAAACTGGCCAGGGTTCTTCCAGCCATCACACAGTTTCAGACTAGGCTTGCTAACTACATGTTTGCTGGGCCACCTCACCTCTCAAGAACTAAATAAAATCTCCTTAAAGTGCTCCCCAACTAGTTTTGAACGACTGTTTCCTCCTTCATGGATCAACCTCTTGTCCTAGCCAAGCACTGATTTTCAGACTGTGTCAATTCAGCTGTGAAAGTACATCCTTTCTTCAGTCCCCATGTAACACCCATATGAGTCAATCTCTATGTGCAACAGTTTTGGTGAAGATGTATCTAAACAGTAGCCAAAGTGATGTTTATTTTTATGTTTTAATCACTCTTGAAAAATACAGGCGATGCAAAACATTTTAAAGTAGGAAACAATATACAGATTGCCAATTTTTCTATTGGATTATTAGTCTTCTATTGATTTTATGGGAGCCCCTTTGAAAAATTGACATTTGTCATAAAGGTTGCAGATGTATTTCCACTGCTTGTCATTATTTTTAACGTTCAGAATTTTTAAATCAAATTTTAAATTTTGAACAAAATTTTGGAGATGAAAAAAATTTTAAGGTAAATACCTTTCATCTGTTCTTTGACTTTAGTGTATTGTGTCTTAATTAGAAAAATCTTTACCACTTCTAGCTTATAAGCTGATAAACCTTTCTGTCGTATTTTAATGATTTGATTTTTCTGCATTTTATCCATTTTTTGCAACAGCTTATATTTTTTCAGATGACTGTGCAGACATCCAACACCACTTATTTAATTGTCCATATTTTCTCCACTGATTTGTATTTGTTTATACTACTAGATTTTCTGTTGTTATCTTATTGCTATGGGTCTCCCAAATAAGCATCAAATTACTCTTACAATATATTTATGCTATATATTTGTATATACTACATATTTGTATATTATATACTATTTGTATATAGTACAAATAAAAATTTGTATATTATCTACTATATATTTGTATATATACACAAATATATATACTTCACAATATATTTTAATATCTGGTAGAGGTAATTCCTTCTAATTTTCAGAAATCTCTTGACTATTCCTGTCTTGTTTATTTTTCCCCTAAGTTAATAATCAGTTTGTCTAGTTGCAAAACTAAAGTCCTATTGGTGTTATTGTAACCATACTGCACAGAGAATTTGGAGAATATACTTAGTCTTTCTGTCCTACACAGGATACCTTTCCACTGGCTAGGGTATTCTTTTGGCCTTCAGAGGTGCTTTAATGTTTTTCAAAGATTTAATTTTAAGTAAACTCTACACCCAACACGTAGAGTCCCCAAAGCCCCGAGATCAAGAATCACATACTCCACTGACAGAGCCAGCCAGGTGCCCCTCCTTCAGAGGTGTCTTAAAGTTTACTTCCCAGAGTTTATATATTTCTTCTTTTTTCTTTTTCTTTTGTTTCTTATTTTTCAGTTTATTTTGCTTGTGATCTCAGATGTGCAATCATGTAGTCTGTAGTGACAAATTTATATTCTTTTCAAATTTTATACCATTTCTTTCACTTCATACAATTATTCAAACAGACTAACTCCAGTTTTATATTGCTTTAAATATGGCCTCCTTATCTTGTTTCTCTCTTTAGTGGGAACTTTCCAGGGCTTTCTCATGAACGGGTCATCAGGGAAGGCCTCTCTGGGGAGGGAACATTTAAGCTGAGAACTGAGAGACAAAAAGGAGCCAAGTATGCAAAGAATACTCCCAAGAATGCAGGGAAGAACATTCCTAAGCAGAGAAAACAGCAAAAAAAAAAAAAAAAGGTGATAGAAAAGAGTATATTCGTTAATAACCTCAGAGGAGTCTAGTCACTGAAGAAGTAGAGAATGGAACCGTGTGAGGGTAAAAAGGTTAGGCAGAAGCCAGGGCATGAATGGTTTTGTAGACCATAGTGGGCAATTTGGGTTTTAGTCCATGAACAACATGAAGTCTTTGAGGTATTTTAATTAGGGATATGTTATCTACCTGGTTTATGTTTTATAAAGAGCATTCTAAGGAATTAATTGGCAAATCTGTATTATCTGCTGCTGCTTACCAAGTACTCCAAAATTTAGTAGCTTTGAACAAGGAACTTTTATTATCTCATAGAGCTCTTGTGGATCAAGAATCTGAGGGTAGGGGTGCTGGCTGGCTCAGTCAGCAGAGCATTTGACTCAGTCTCAGGGTCATGAGTTCAAGCCCCATGTTCAGCATGGAGCCTACTTAAAAAAAATTTTTTTTTAAAGAATTTGAGAGTAGCTTAGCAGAGTGCTTCTGGAAGAGGGTCTCTCATGAGGTTGAAGTCATCTG